ACGTTTATTCTTGACCCAATTGGGTATCATCTTTGAGTAACATATATTTATGTCTGCCCAAAGTTAACTCTTCAGTCCTCATAAACGTCTATGAATGGCTTTCCTGTTGGCTGTTGTTAATTATATGTGTAAGGTCAACTATTCAACCCAATCAAAAATCTAAGTTCGATTTTCCTCTGAGCAGTTGATATTTATCTGTGTACAATTGTAACTCTTCAGTCTTGTACGTCATTTTTTTATGATCTTCCTCTAGGTGGTTGATATTTATCTGTGTACAATTATAATTCTTCAGTCTTGTCAGTCATCCTTTTATTATCTTCCTCTGAGCAGTTGATATCTGTGTACAATTGTAACTCTTCAGTCTTGTCAGTCATCCTTGTATGATCTTCCTATGAGCAGTTGATATTTATCTGTGTACAATTGTAACTCTTCAGTTTTGTCAGTCATCTTTGTATGATCTTCTAGGTGGCTGATATTTACTTATGTTGACTCTTAAATACTGTCACTATATATATATATATATATATATATATATATATATATATATATATATATATATATATATATATATATATATATATATATATATATATATATACGTACGTACGTACGTACGTACGTACGTACAAAAATACATACATACATATGCGTGGATTTTTCCTTATCGCTAATATATGTGTCTTTGTTAACTCCTCAATCCTCGCAGATATCTATGCATGATCTTTCTCTGAACAATTTATATTTATGTTTTTATTGTCAAATTTATATGTCGAATAATCGCTCAGTGTTATTATTTGCTTCGCCTTTTTCTCCTTACATTAATGATTCTAGTTCTGTTGTAATATTTTCTATACCCAGATTGTTGAATGAGCAAAACATATATAACCTGGCTGTTCGGATCTGTAGACAGTATTTAGCTGCTTGTATGAGGTAGTTGTAAGTCTTTGAATTCAGGTAAACATTTTGCAATATTCATGTTCACATGGGACAATTGTGTTAGTTTTCCTTCGTTATTTTGTGATATGACGTAATTTGGAATTTTTTTACCAAGCTTTAAAACTGTGTCAGTTATATCTCTACGATGTCTGCAAAGAAAAGTTTATAGCCATGTCTAACACAGGGGAATCATGCCGTTAACATGTCGCATGATGTCCCACCCAAACTATTTTCGCTAGCCAAGGTTCCGATAACCCTATATACACCATGACATATCGTGCAGATATATCTGTGCTTCTGGTCTGCGAATTTCATTTGATGCGGCGGCAAGCCACCGCAACCAATAAAAATTAAGTTGTTCAAATTTGAAGATTGTTCCTCTGTAATTGACGTAAGAGGAGGACACAATTTGAATGGACTGATAAATATGCAATTCGCCAGTGTCGGTCAGTGTTTGCACAAATACCTTTCACTCAAATACACCTGTACTGATTTCCCTCTGCTGTATAATTTTATTTTACATGCTAAACTTACAAAGTATCCTTTCTAGGTCAATTGCAACCAACGTTTTCTGTAGATATACAATGCACATTATTGGTTAGTTGGCATAAGGGGACATGAAATCCAATAGATGTCGCTATGACAAGCACCAATATAACTGTTTCATCAAGGTGTAGATACGGTATTACTTGATAGTTTCGTATTTTGATACCTCCCTAATTTTTAAGGTAGAAGTCATGAACCTAATTATCATAAACCTAGCATTTATAAATTCACACAAAAGCTAAATCTGAAATGTGGTTGGCTTGTTTGGTGATCCCCTGCAAAGTTAGACTAGCACTGGAAATCAAATGCGTAAATGGGCTGCAAATGAACAGCCGACTTGGCTTATGCATTTATGTATGCCTGATACAGAGATAAATATCTAAAAATCGAGATGGTTGAGGGGGGATGAATAGTATGCTAGTTTATTATAGTACTAGTGAACTTTATTCATGCATAAGGCACACATACGGATTCCTTTAGATACATAGTCAAACTAGCTCTTTGCTGTAAAAAGTGAATCTGCAAAAGAGGGGTTGGTGGCAGTGTTGGTTCAGTATAAAGGCCACCAATTGTATAAGGAATTAACCTGATTGCCGGAGTCAAAATTTGACATGCATGCTGTCTACAAAAATCATTAGTTTGTTTTTATTTGTATCTTCAGTCTAAAATTATTCTCATTTTTCTGCAACAGGTCATTCTCGGATAAAAATTCCCGAGATAAACTGCCCAGTGAGACCTAAGGTTATCGGAACCTTGGCTAGTAAAGATGCACCAGTAACATTATCCTGACACCAGGCAGACCAGTTTTAACACTAGCATCTTAATGATGAGCGCCTAGCGAGGCAGCTGTTAGTAACGATTTTGTTTTTTATTCATGGGCATGACTCGGCCGGGGTCCATTTTCGCTTTCGGGTGTTTGGTGCTCATTCGTAACTCGGATAGAGGTTTTAAAAAAGAAGAGTGTGTTATAAAATAAAATTTGCAGAATAAAGAAATCTTGAAAAAATATGAGTGGACAATTATTATTGTTTGCATGATTGCCAGCGCCCGAGTATTTAGTTCACCTTCGGAAATAGTCATTGTTGCAAATCTATATTCAACTGTTGTGCATTGTTTTTAATACTAAATATCAAATATTTACAGAATTATAATTTTAGTTCAATATGTTGCTTCTTCATGACGAAGCAGCTCTTTTTCTTTTGCTCATTTACGTGTACCACCCCTTTCGGTACAGTGAATGACACTGTTTTCGTCCCTTCGTGCAGTGCCGGATTACCACATAGGCAGAATAGGCACAGCCCTATGGGTCCCACGTCTTTAGGGGCCTTGCAACAACTAATCTAAATAATATTGAATTAATTTGCTCTTGGCGTATTTGGAGATAATTTGTGAGTGGGTCCGAAGATTTCGACTGCCTGAGGCCTCCACATAGTTTAATCCGGAACTGCTTGGGTGCAGCAGAATTTTTAAAATAAACCTAAAGTCACTTTACTAAAAATCTACACTAATCTTGTGATAGACCAGCCGGTTAACGCCATCTTATAATGGTTCATACATTTACTGGATAAGTGGTCCCTCAATATAAATAATAACATAATATAATATAAATATAACATAAATGTGCTTATTTAAATTCATTACACTATATCAAAATTATTTATATCGTATTATAATCATATAATACGGAATTGTTACTTACCAAATGTCCATGAATCCCTCTCAATGTAAACTTCCTGAATTATCCGGTGCTTCTACTCCTCTAAATTCCCAGGTAAAGCCCTTTTCTTATAAAGAAACTCACAAGTCGCCCCAGAAAATTTCTTTTGCAATTAACAATAAGCTACAGTACGAATACTAGGCAGTATCTTGCAGATTGTTTTCCTGCAATCATTTGCTGCAGATAATTTCTCTTCCTATAGTTACACTTCATTTATAGGGTTTGCTCAAGCAAATGAACGAAGATATAATAACAACATAAACAATCGAAGATCAGATTATTGCACATAGTTTCAACGTCTGCATGTTTTCCACTTTTATAATTTGAATCTTGTAACTTCAACCTTTGCATTTATGAACAGCTGGTCTTTACCTGGGAGATTTATGTTGCTGCAATGAGCTACTGTAACCAATTTAATGAGGTCAAATTGCTTCAAATGATATATATATATATATATATATATATATATATATATATATATATATATATATATATATATATATATATATATATATATATATATATATATATATATATATATACCAGGTATGCCTACAGGGGGTTTGCTTTTATATATATATATATATATATATATATATATATATATATATATATATATATATATATATATATATATATATATATATATATATATATATACCACGTGATATGCCTACTGGCATTTGCTCAAGCATATGAAGGTAGAACAACTTAATGTTTTAGGGAGTGAGGATCAACCTATTATAGTCAAATATAGAGTATACATTAAAATACCGGCATATTAAAAGTTGTCCTATAGCGCTTCATACATTTACTTGATAATAGTTCCTGCAGTTATGTACATAATTCCCATAAATTTGTATTTGTATTTCTCAATATAAAACGCAAGTACGTACTTTTATAATCATGTTTAGTAGACAGAAGATTGCAGAATGTATACAATTCTCTTAAAATTAAGCTTCAGGAATTATTTAACATTATTCTTACACGTGTAAAATTTAGCTTGCTAAGATCAACTGGAAAATTGAAATACCCCTTGGAATATTTGAGATTGCCACGAATATAATACACCTGGAGCTGTATAATAATAATATAAAACAAGAAATCGAGTTATATTTGTTTCCTATGTATCTCTGTTGGCACCTGGAACTCATATGCCAATAATTAAATGTATCCAAAAATATATATGGAATTTATGAAAGTAGATAAATATGTAGATTAGAAAGAGTTATAATGCAGATATACTTGGAAAAGCAAAAAAGACGTTATGTATATGTATAATTATTTCTTATTTATCAAAACGAGCTTTAAACTGTAAATATTTACATTATCACTGCGTGAGGAAATGAAAAAGTGACCATGACGTCGACTAGAAGATGGAAATGACGCATACATTACATAAAAACTGTAGCAGAAGAATATGCTACATGTAAACGCTAACTAAAGGTGGTGATATATGTATTTTGGCAAGAATGCAAGGTATGAAAATTGTAGAACATAAAACATTAGAAACTCAGTAAATTAGCTCTCGCATAATTACCTGGTGTATGTGTTGGCGTGTGCATGTGTGTGATATTGATATTTAACGTAGCTTTAACAATTTTGCAGTCATATCGTTACAATGTCCTCACTGTGACAGTTTATAATAATATAGCACTAGAGATTCATGCTGCAGACGTGTAGCATCTTGTCCCAGCCAGTCACATTATCCTGATACCACGCCGACCAGTTGTAACACCAATTTTTTGCGTCAAGCGTCAAGCGAGGCAGTTGCTAGTACCATGGTTATAAGTCTATGATATGACTCAGGCGGTGTTCGAACCCGTGACCTCCCGCATCCAAAGCGGACAATCTAACCACTTAGGCCAACAGAGCGACCTACCACAGAAACTGGAAAACGTTAGTGCATATAATATCCCTCTCTCAGTTGTGTGTACTTCCTCGCGAGCTAGTGCCATGCAAACATGAGTTTGCTTAAAGTCTATTAATTGTTCAGCAAATCTGAATATTTACATTTATTCATATTTAATCTATGTATTTGCGTATTGCATCAATCATCAATGTGTGATTGCTTTCTTCTGTCATTTTCTTGCCCAATCTAAATCCAAAACGCGATACCGCTTCTTTCAATTATCTTTGAATTCATATAATTAATATTGTATTTCCATCCAAATCGGGTAAAGAGAACTCGCAACAACTCTTCAGTCGACTACATACCATGACAGTTGTGTATGTAAAGATGGCAGTGACAACACTGGAACGTTTCCGTTTGATCTCACCTCGATTTCTTGTATAATCAGAGAACATTGTATGCAAATTCGGTTAACGGAAGAGCTTAGCGACGCCACTGTGTGAAACGTACTTGTGTTCTCAATGGCAACCTTTACATATACTACTAATTAAAAGCATTTGATTTTGTTTGCACAAGAATGATAATTGTTTGTTGTTACAAAATTAACCGAAGTCTCTGTCAGAAGGATAACAGTAATATATTGATTTAATGTAAAACTGGAGGCATGGCTAATGTTATGAATCTTTGCTCTAAAAATAAGCAACACAAAAGAGTGAAAACAACAAGCGTTAAAAGGTGATAAAAATTTGTCAGGGACTCACTCAAAATAATAGTGTATCAAATATCAAAGAAATATATTGAGTACAGAAATTAGTGTTCTTTGCTTCGAATGTGTCAGTCTTCTCTCTTATAATACAGACACCTCTTGCTACTTGTATAATTATAAATATGCATGACAACATTGTAGAATGCCTGAACTATTTTCGTTAAGTTTTGAAATGAGCATCTCATTCTGTCTGTGGTGGCTCTGGCTACAGCTGATCCAATCATGACTCTCATGGATATTCTAGATTTTGATTTCACTAAGGAATTTAAATAAAATTCTGGTACGTTTTCTTTCAGCATATTATAGTGCACCTCTGTCGTCTGCACCTCGTTAATATAAATAGTTTCTTATCCGATTCTCATGTCTCTGGAGCAAAGTGTCATCATTTATGTCATTTTGCAATTGTATTTAAGTATGATATAACAGCAAAACTGTGAAAACTCAACAGCTATGCTATTCAAGGTGCGGCATGAACATTGCATTCGTGTTCTATTTCACATAATAGTAAGCTTCAGTGGCCTTGTCACACGTTCTGGAATCTCATCTTGTTGTGCTCGTTCTGGTTGATGGATGTAACTTTCAGACTCATCGCTGGCAGAAAAATCTTTTCCCTTGTTTTCTTTTTAAGATAAATTCATAGCACGCAGTATAGTCATCATACTTTTAATCGAGCTCTCTGTAAAATCTTCTCCTGTTCCGATATGTAATTACCATTATATGGCCAGGGCAAGGGGGTAGGGGGAAATGGTACTGTTACTTTGGTAACTTAACCAATATTACAGCGATAGGATACAAGGGAATATTTCGCAAAGTTTTTTTTACTAAGGTATTGTAACCAACACTATGGTTTCTATTATAAGAAAGGATAGTGCGAACATTGCGTCAATCGTTTCTGCATAGGACAAAATCTCATCTCCATTATTATTCCACCATATGTCTTGCAACTCTCTGACTTTGCATTTGGCAGTTTTTTAAGTTTCGAAGGCTATCTTTTTAGATGTTGAAGTGCTGTCTTCCAAACAGTATGTCTAAATCTGATTCTTCTATTCAGAAGTGTCTGTATCGCAAAATTCAATAAACACAAACAAATCTTGAGTGTGCTGGATGCAGCTGCGTACACCGATTGGCTGCATAGTTCTTGGAAAAACGCCTTTGACATTATCCTGTTTCAAAATTATTTACGCTGCAATTTTTCGTACATTTTGCCTTGTGGTCGTCTGCCATGCCATAGCTCAATATTGATCTTGGAGCCTACGATCATGTGGTCATTTATTTGTTTGCATTTTTTCGTAACCTTCGTCACCCAGACATACTGTCTCTAATCTAGAGGATTACGTAGTCAGTGGAATGTCAGTGTTTGCAGCCTGAGACATCTTAATAATATTTAGCAGACGGAAAACTCAGTTAGTGAGGAGAACTTAGCTGTTGCTTCTGTCACACCATTTTTTTTTTATTGACACAAGATCATGTCTGTTGATCTCTGCCAGCTCTATAGTTGTAATCACTAAGAATAATAAGCTTGTCTACCTTCGGTACTTCTGCTGTAAGAAACTTCATATATTCGTAAACAGTTGCCCTTGATCACATCAAATTTCACACGACTGATGGATGGGAACTGATTATAACAGTGGGAGTCTCGTTTGCGTTAGTAAGTCAATTACGCTCGTTGGCTCTTCTAATGTTGGTTAGTGAGTGGCATTTATATTCCTCTCTAACTCTGGCAAATAAAAGTCCATATTTAAATAAAGGATAGCGAAAAATATTTGGATTGCTCTCTTACTTTGATATTCAACCTAATATCATAGAGATCTAGTAATGACTGTAGAGAAGAACATTTAAATTATCTCTATATTTGGTTATATAAGCAACGTTACATGGCTCTAGTAAAACGATGGAGGGACTGGAATGTTTGGATTGATCTCTTATTTTGGTCAAATAAACGGTCAAATAAACAACAGACTCAGAAAAACAAATCGTTATCGAGGAGAACATTTGGATTGCTGTCTCAATTAGGCACCATTTACAAATATTGAAGGGCCATATAACAGGAATGAACAGAGGTAACATCCGGATTACTCCCTTAGCTTGGTATTGCAACCAACATTACATGACCTTAGTACAAGATAGAATAGCGCGAAACATTTGGATTGCTCTCTTAGTATGGTAATGTAAACTGTCATGGTAAAATATATACTTGAAAAGAAATATACTACTATAACAAATATTACGGGAACCTAGTAAAAGATATGGAACAACGTATGGGTTACTCTTTTACCTAAGGAATCCAACTAACCGACAGAATAAATGCAAATATTTAAATTGGTCTCTTACGTTGGTTATATAAACAATCTTTGCAGGGTCATACCGATAGAGGTAAGCATTTGAAGTATTCTCTTACATCGGTACTATATCCAATTTTACATCAACATAGTAACAGCTAGGATAGAGAAGAACACATCTCTTATTTTGACACTGTACAAAACAGAATTTTTTTTAAAATTACAGAGATACAGAAAAATAGGATAGAACGGAACATTAACATTGACCTTCTTCTTTCGTACTGTATTTATAACCAACATTACAAGACCCAGGTGAATGAAACAATATAGAACACTCGAATTATCTTCTAACTTTAATGATTTAACCATCTTTACAGTGTCATTAACGAACGACAGAAAAGAGGCGAAAGTTTGGTCATAGCAACATACAGGATTGTTTAAAACATTTAGAATGCTCTTATATTGTGATAGTAATACCCACATTACTTTATATTTTTTTGCCGTAGCAAAATAGTGACGAACATTCGATTTATCTTCTAATTTGGTAAATAATGGATATCGCCATGACACTAGGTGAGATAGACAGGATCGTTTAGAATAACCTGTTCCTGTGATACTCTAATGAACGTTCTCTGGGCTACTATTTTAGTAGTCAACATGTCGTTACAGGTACATTTCGCAATGAAACGTATACACAAATAGTACTTATCATTCAGATATCAACATCCTTGTTGGTTGCTTCCTTCAAAAATTTTATCCTGGTCCATGGGCGTCCTCACGTTACAACCCCTGGAAATCATACTGTACTATATATATATATATATATATATATATATATATATATATATATATATATATATATATATATATATATATATATATATATATATATATATAACGCACATAATATGGTAGCTGGCGGTGTTGGGTAGTTACTTTTTAACTCGTGGCCTTGTAATTTTCTATCATCTTAGTAGACATCAAATTATTTTTAGAGATAGTTAACGTCTTTGGTAAGGGCTGACAATCATTTCTACGCTCACTAAATGAAAGGAGAGAGAGAGAGAGAGAGAGAGAGAGAGAGAGAGAGAGAGAGAGAGAGAGAGAGAGAGAGAGAGAGAGAGAGAGAGAGAGAGAGAGAGAGAGAGAGAGAGAGAGAGAGAGAGAGAGAATAGGTGGTAAGTGTCAGAGAACGAATAACGAAACTTCAGATGACCCGTATTAACTACTTCAACAAATTCAAATAAAATGCGTAGTATTTTATTATGCAGAAGAGGGCATTGAACAATCTCCAAAATATTACAACCTGGGGGACAACAAATGCATTAACATTACTAAATTCTCTTTCTTTTCCATAATACACCAATTAATGACTTGAAATATCTATCTGTAACATTAGATTACATTTGATAACTATTAAAAAAAGTTTTGAAAGCGAATAATGGAGCTTGTGGTTCGTCACTCAATGCATGACATACAAATAAACCATTGTTTTGTACACTACATTAAAGAATTATATATATATATATATATATATATATATATATATATATATATATATATATATATATATATATATATATATATATATATATATATATATATATATAAAGATTTTATGAAAATCGATGCATAACTGCCTTTGCAATTCATATCAAACCACTTAAACATTATCATCATTTTTCAGACCGGATTTAAATGTGATCTAGACGCGACACAATTTATACAACAGGTCATATTATTCCAGGCTAAATAAAGTCGCTTAGTGTGTTTGGTTTTTATGCTTGTTATAGCAAGCACACGGCAAAATTACGTACTACGTTTTTACTAGTTGGCATGCACAATCACGTTTTGAACGTTTTCCATCTTTTATTCAGTATCAAAAGATAAAGTTAATTATCATCCATAAATATTTTTATCTGTGTGTCTTGTGATCAAATCTTTTCTTTATCTTTTTCTGACAGATACAAGAAAAGCAA